TAATAAGCAGGTACACATGCTTCAAATATCAATAATGCGCATCGATTCTGTCACTACCCTGCTTTTGCGCACCACTTTCTTATATGCGTTTTTCTTGTTAACACACAGAGTACACACACGCACTCGCAAAGTCAGCTGATCTCATCTGATGCAGATTTGCTCCTTGATCAAGTGACATTTGTCCGGATTTTTGGCACGAGTGGCGATCAGCACCGCAGCTGGATGGTCCGATTTACATACCCAGCGCAGCTGATACTCACCAGAATAATTTACTAAAATTATATGGACTCCTGTTATTAAGTCCAGTTCAGTCTGTTAATGTTAATAACCGTTTCAAACTAACGTTAATAGGTGTGTTGCTAAGCCTAATAACTTAAATAACAAACTTGAAATGTACCTGTCCCATTTCCCCTTTATTGTTTTTTCTCTGTGCTGTAAATCTTCTGTCTAAGAAGAAATCTGAGGCTGCTGTTCTGAGAATGAGCGACCAAAGCTTTTTCTGAATAAATCAGTAAAGATCCATTTATGGAACGCTGTGATGAAGGCAGTTTTGTCTTTAATTATATTCACCAATATAACATATTTGACCACTTTTAAGTGATTTTTCTAACTTTTCTCTAACTTTCTAACACTAAAGTTAAGGTTATATACCTAATTTCTATTAAGTGGCCCAGCCCCTCCTATATTTTTATGTATGTGGCCCTCAGTGAAAAAAGTTTGGACACCCCTGCCCTACGCAAATTGCTACCTACTCATGGTAGAGGGGTTTGTGTGTCCCAGGGATCCCAGGGGCTATGTTTTGTGCCCTGGTAGGGTCTGTCATGGCAAATTGGTCCTGGGTGGGGGACGACACAAAGAGCCATTCAGAAGACCCCTATTAGAAGACCACCGAGGGAACAGTTTACCCTGCCCAGGATAGGGTTACCGGGGCCCCACTCAGGAGCCAGACCAGGGGAGGGTCCCTGAGGGTGAGCATCTGGTGGCCAGGCCCGGCCGGGCACCACCCAAAAAACGGACATGGGCCCATCTTCCTGCAGGCCCACCACCGCAGGAGGTACCATAGGGGTCGGGTTCATTGTGAGTCGGGTGGTGGCCAGGAGGTGAAGGGTGGCTGGCCTCTGCCGTAGAGATTGAGAAGAGTGAGAGAGATAGAGAGAGTGAGAAGGTCAGCCATCTGGGAGGAGCTCCGAGTAGAACCGGAGCCAGCTGAGGTGGTTCAGGCATCTGATAAGGATGCCTCCTGAGCGCCTCCTGGGTGAGGTGTTCCGGGCATGTCCCACTGGCAGGAGGCCCAGGGCAGAGCCAGGACATGCTGGAGAGATTATATCTATCGGCTGGCCTTGGACCACCTTGGTGTTCCCCCAGACAAGCTGGAGGAGGTGGCTGGCAAGAAGGAGGTCTGGGCTTCTCTGCTTGGAATGCTGTCCCCACGACCCGGTCCCGGATAAGCGGAAGAAGATGGATGGAATTGGGTCTACAGATGTTGAACTTGGGTCTGGTGTCTGCTCATATCAACTCACAATTTACCTATTATAAAATGGATTTTGTTGTTGAATGCGGTTGTTAATATGTGCAGCAATAGTTTCTGTTTTTCATTGTATAACTATAACTTCTTTGTATGACTTTATTTCTATTGCACAAAATAAAACGTTCAAGTGCAAACTTCATCCAGGACAGAAACAGCCACAACTTGGGCTCTTTGCTAGCATCTGCCCAGGCAGCATGCTAACACAAATATAGCCAAGAACCTAGAGTGATGTTAAAGCTGAGTAAATGCCGACCCCGGCCCAGCCGTCAGACCCTGAACTTCAGCAGGTAATAAAAGCAGCTCTGTTTCTACCTGTTCAATCACTGTTGCGATTGCTTTGAGGTGTCTTTGGGCTGGTTTCCATATTTGCCTTGTGTTTTATGTTCATACGTAATGTTGGAATTTAGTCATCTTTAATACAAATATACCTCATTATTATATATCTCACAACTACGTCATAATTAGCATCACACACATGTTTTATACTTACCACACAGTTAAGTATTATAGAGTAGTTTTAGAAGTAGATTGCTACACACAGACAACATTAGACATTACAGAGAGAGGCCCCAAAGAGAGAAATTTCGACTGGGAGGGCTGCCTCACTAGTGGAGGCCTATCGCGTCTATCGCGTCTATCGCGTT